CTCAGGCGTGTCAAGGATACAGCTGTATTATAATTCCTTAGTGTCCTTTAAGCTGCTTTTGCAATTAATACTGAATGTAACCTTGCTTTTTCCATAATTTCTATGATTTCATTTGAACGTGGTAACAGGTTAGCAGGGGCCATCAGCCTTGGCGCTGCCGATGTTATACTGTCCTCTCGTGGTAAATATAGAGAACTGCAGCCTGACGGCTTTTTCCTCTTTCATTTTCCTGTTCCATTGTTTTTCCATGCTATACATAACCTTATAAACTGCCTTAAATTCTTTCTGGATTACAGCAAAATCTAAATAAATAGATAAATAAACATAGAAGATGGGAACTGTTGACTAGGAGCTTAAAACATGGGTTGGAAAACCCATCTGCCTGGCTTCAAATCCCAGCTCTTAAAGCCCAGCACAGTGGCATGCCCTTGTAGTCCCAGCTTCTTGGAAGGTTGAGGCAGGACAATGGCTCAGGTTCAGGGGAAAAATAAAAAATGAAAATTCCAGCTCTGCCACTTAATCAGCTGTGAGAACCTGGGTTATCTACTGGGGTGAAGACTGTCTCTATGCCTAGCTCCTCATCTGTAAAATGAGGATAACAATAGCCTACATTGCATAGTGTTGATATACCTCCATGGCAAGCACTAGGAACAGAACTGGCACATGGTAGGTGCCATTCAATGTGAGAGCTTTATGGCTGGGCCAGGTGGCTAACACCTGTAATCCCAGCACTTTGGGAGGCCGAGGCGGGCAGATCACTTGTGGTCAGAGGTTCAAGACCAGCTGGGACAACACGGTGGAACCATCTCTACTAAAAATACAAAAATTAGCCGGATGTGCTGGCCCACACCTGTAATCCCAGCTACTCTGGAGGCTGAGGCGGGATAATCGCTTGAACCCAGGAGGCGGAGGTTACAGTGAGCTGAGATTGTGCCGCTGCACTCCAGCCTGGGCAACACAGCAAGACTCCTTCTCAAAAACAACCAACCAAAAAACCAAAGTGAGAGCCTTATCACCTAAAAGGTCAATTACAGCTTATTCTTAAATACAGTGGAACAGAAGTTCTCTGGGACCCACAGACCACTTCCCCAGTGTCCAAATTTGACACAGAGTGCAGAAACTGAAATTGCAACCCAGCTGAGCTGTGATTGTGTTTTTTTTCACTGGAGGAAGTAAATCGTAGAACGTTAGTGTTGTACATTGGACCTTGGAGCATGTTGCATTTGGCCTCCTCATTTTACAGTTGAGGAGTTTGAGGCCAGAGAAGTGATAGCTCAGTTCTCCCGATACACTTCCATGCTGTGATCACTGCTTCATGCTCTGAGCCCTTGTAAACACAGGAATTTCCATGAAGAGGAAAGGACAAAGCTGTGACCAACCAGCCATAGGTTTCCCAGCCCTAGTTTTCCCCATGCAGCTACAGAAGTCACCCTGGAATAATCCATGAGCAAGGCCACAGGCACAGACACTTCGGGAGCTGACAGGAATAGATCTTTAGAGACAGGAAGGCTTTCCTACCCAACCCCACCACCAATTTTTACAAGCAAACATTTCCCACAAGATAAATATAAGAACTAGTCTGGTCAAAGGATAACAAGGCAGTAGGTACTGGAAATTCTGGACCATTTGTACTACTCAAGCTAACTGCGATGCAAGGCAGGCTTTGGAACTTAAGGCAAGCTATTATGTCCGGCTCTGCAACAATTTCAGAATCCGTGTCCTCTGTAGTGGACGGACTGTGATGCCCTACCATGCTCTGTCCTCAACAGAGGTTGTCCTCTGACAACCCTCTCTGAAAACTGCCCTCAGCTCAACAAGGTTGCTTTGTTCGAGGTCAAGCCCCCCAATGCTCAGTCAATGAGAAAGTGTAGAGACTCAGCACTCCCAGAGCGACGGGGGACAACTCTAGAGCCCCCGGGGTTCTGCTGAGGCCCTGCTGAGATTGCACCACAGCCCAGCTGCCCCCTCACTTGAGTATTATCCTGAGGACACGCCCAGAGAGATGTCCCGCACATTCTACTCAGAGCCTGCTTGCCAGAGAAACCAAATCAACAGCCCTTTTCTGATATAAAATTTCACACTTCTTGATATAAAATTTCACTCTTCTTGACCTGTTGGGATTTTGTGGGGGTTTTTTGTTTTGTTTTGTTTTTTGTTTTTGAGGGGAAGAGGATCAATTTAAAATAAATTCATCGTATACTTAGCCTCTCCAATCTGAGAAGAGAGTGTGCTTTCTATCTGGCAAAACCTCTTTAAAATGCTCTTTCCCAATTGCTGCCATCTAAATTATCCTCTGTGTAAATGGCTGTTTCTCTGCATACCTAATTCCAATGATGGAATGCTTCTGTTCCCCCAAAATTCACACACTGAAATCCTAACTCCCAAGGTGATTGTATTTAGGAGGTGAGGCCTTCGGGAGATGATTAGGTCAAGAGAGCGGAGTCTTCGTGATTGCATTAGTGCCCTTGTGAAAAACCCCAGTGAGCTCTCTCACCCCTTCAGCCATGTGAAGACACAAGATGACTGGGCCTTCTGTGAACCAGGAAGCAGGCCCACCCCAGATACCAAATCTGCCAGCACCTTGATCTTGGGCTTCCCAGCCTCCAGAACTGTGAGAAATAAATTTCCATTGTTTATAAGCCCCTCTGTTTATGGTATTTTGTTATAGGAATCTTAACGGACTGTTGGAAATTTTTATTTAGATTTCATAATTAAAACACAAATACATATTCATTGTAAAAGTGTGACCTTTTGATCCCCCCTCCCCAGGGGGCCCCTGCCACTGTTTCCAATCTGGGTCCTCTTCAGATTTTGATACACACTCCTGGGTAGTCACGTCTCCCCTCCCTGCCTTGAAAACCACTATCATCTGCATATCAACCAGTCAAGATTTTGAACATTACCTTCTTGCAGTCTATACTACAAAACCTTTTATAAAAATGTCTCCAAATATAAAATACTATTAGAATGCTTGGTGAAATGTCCTTGCTTAAACATCTTAGTTTGAGAGCACCAACACACACCCAGTTTGGAGGGCAATGCAACCTACTCAAAGGCATTTGAAGAAGTGGGAGAAGGGACTCTTCCAGGGCAACAGAGGGAAGTCAGGAAAAGAAGCTATTAACATAACTTGCAAGAGAAAGCATCAGCATTTACAGTAATTTCATCAAATTTAAAAGTAATCAAATCTGGATTTTATAAGATTTAGGCATCAGGTCATTTATGTATAGGCTCATGAGGAAGGCCTAAACTGAATCCCCAATCCTCAAGAATTCTAAAGTGAACACAACAGTTACTGGGAGCCCAAAATAAGGCCCCTGAGGCTTCCCAAGATTTTAGGGCATATGGTCATGTCCCCCAGGATACCAGGAGTTATACTTCGAAACACAGGGGAGCACAAAGTCAGCTCAATTCTAATGCATCACTGGTGTTGAAATGTGCTTTGGGAAGGCAGGAAATCTATTCTAACGTAGAACAAAAGCCCACCAAAAAACCAACTTGGGGTTTGTCAAGAAATAATATACTTCACTTGGCAGAGGATAGTATCTTCCTGCTGGTTGTTGAAGGATTGCTGATTACACATTTTTGAACAAGGAAACTAGAAAACTGAAAATGCAAGCCTACCTACTTGGAAAATAAAGTTATTTCAAGAGAAAAAAAAAATCTTATTACAAGGATAATGAGAAAAGTCAGGGTGGGGAAAACATTTAAGAGAGTCAGGAACAACAGCAAGAACAAAAACTGTTGGTTGCTAGATAAGAAATACCAAAAACAATCACAGGCTGGGTGCAGTGGCTCATGCCAGTAATCCCAGAACTTTGGGAGGCTGAGGCGGGTGGATCACTTAAACCCAGGAATTTGAGACTAGCCTGGGCAACATGGTGAAACACCGTCTCTACAAAAAATACAAAACTTAGCCAGGCATGATGGTATGTGCCTGTAGTCCAGCTACTCGGGAGGCTGAGGTGCGAGGATCACTTAAGCCCAGGAATTGGAGGCTGCAGTGAGTCATGACTGCACCACTGCACTCCAGCCTGGGCAACAGAGCAAGACCCTGTCTCCAAAACAAAACAACAAAAAAAAAATCACAGAAGGAATAACAAACAGGCAGGCATTGAAACTACACTACGACAGGTGCAGGGACTCACGCTTATAATCCCAGCACTTTGGGAGGCCAAGGCAGGAGGGTCACTTGGGGCCAGGAGTTCGAGACCAGCCTAGCCAACATGAGACCCTGTCTCTACAAATTAGCCAGGATGGTAGTGCACACCTATATTCCAGCTACTTTGGAGGCTGAGGGAAGAATATCACTTGAACCCAGGAATTTGAGCTTGCAGTGAGCCATGACTGCACCACTCACTCCAGCCTGCGCAACAGAATGAGACCTTATCTCTTAAAAAAAAAAAAAAAAAAAACACTACACTATTATACTTGCGGTGTCATTACAAATGCTTTTGGCTGCAAGTAACAGAAAACCCACAGGGCATATTTTTCTAATATATCTTTCTGACAAGAAGTCTGCAAACAGGACTTGTTGATGTTGGTTCAACAGCTCAGCAATGTCATCTCTGTGATTCTAACCCTTTTTCTCATGGTCATAACTGCCCCACAGCCACTCCTAACTGGAATATGGCCAGGAGAAAGGGTTGAGAATGGAGGTGGGGCCAGGCAAGCAACTCTCTGCCACAACAAGAAAACTGTAGGAAACCTAGGCTTTGTTGAAAGTGAAGAGCTTGGCAAAATCGGTGGGGCTGAGTCCATCGCAATGGTGACCTGAGCTCCCTGGCTGCTGCACACAGTCTGAAGGGTCCAGGGAAATATGTAAATTTCCATATCACATTAGTATGTGGGTGAAGAGGGACAAAATATCTGTTGCAAACTTATGTTTCATTTCTATTATCCAAGAAACTACCTATGAAATTCCTCACAAAAAACAAACAAACAAAAAGGTCAGACTATGTGGTGAGAAAACATGAATTTGAATTGCTACAAAACACAAGCAAGTTCAAAAGGAATGTTTATTTTAAGCTCTATGTACAGAAGAACAGAGTGTAAATGTAGAAAGGAACAAAGGAAACAAAAATGACAGGCATAGATATTTACATAGCAAGTGTAGGCAAAATGTGTCAAGAAAAGTCTTTAAATACATCTACTTTTAGCCTTTAACAGTCCAAATCAGTTTCTAAGAATAATTTATCATCCAGGAAGAAGTTTTAGAAGTTTAAGGCTCAACCTTAAGTTGAGTTTAAATCCTTGAGTTTAGAAGGCTTGTATTGTTGATACCTTGGTCAACAGCTTTTGTGTTGACCATTTCTTCTCTAGTTCGCTGTCCTTCTGACTGTGAAATGTGATGTCCAAACTGAAATAAAGCAAATATTTAACATACAAATTATTCTAATGTTAAAAAAAAAAAAAAGAATGGCAAGACAAAGGCCCGATGACCCTCTGAGGTTTAACACACAATATTTACTTACTGTATGTATTACTATAATACATAGTTATTTGGCTGTGTATCAGGTACTACACTCAGAGCCAAGGACAAACGTGAACGAGACACTCTCAGCGGCACAGACTGAGCTCTTAGGTAACTAAAATTTGAGTCCCTGTGTGCCCAGCCTGAAATTAAGTGCTAAAAATTACGTAAAAAAAAAAAGATGATTGTCTAAAAAACTTGTAGTTGGTTGGAAAGAAAGTGCAAGAGACACTGAACTAACAGCAAGCAGTAAATGACAAGCTAGTAACACTTCACTTATCCACTATCACCGGGAAACGGTGTGTCCCGCCTACGGGAACTTCTCAGATAACTGCAGGTTTTCAAACATCCTGAAATTTTAAGAAACCAAGTTCTAGTCTCTGCTCTGCCCCTTATACAGGGGATTATAGGCACTACAGGGCTCATTTTCCTCATATTTTTCGGGGGAAGGGGGTTACCGCTATAAAGATCTAGTGAGATGAGTAAAAAAGGTACTTTGCAAGTTACAAATTGCTCTACAAATGATAAAATTAAACATTTATTTTAGACACATTTGCATTTTTATGGTAATAGTTCTCAAGCAAACTTCTTGTCTTCCTTTTTTTTTTTTTTTTTTTTTTTTTGAGATGGAGTCTCGCTGTGTCACCCAGGCTGGAGGGCAGTGGCGCGATCTTGGCTCACTACAAGCTCCGCCTCCCGGGTTCACGCCATTCTCCTGCCTCAGCCTCCCAAGTAGCTGGGACTACAGGCACCCGCCACCAGGCCAGGCTAATTTCTTTTGTATTTTTAGTAGAGATGGGGTTTCACTGTGTTAGCCAGGATGGTCTCGATCTCCTGACCTCATGATCCACCCGCCTCGGCCTCCCAAAGTGCTGGGATTACAGGCTTGAGCCACCACGCCCGGCCTTGTCTTCTTAAATAGTTAAAAGAATATAATTTTCTGAGTCAACATGCTAAACATCAGATTTAAAGTACACACACACACACACACACACACACACACACATACACAATGGTGAGCTAAGAGGTTGCTAGCACTGGAGTGGGAATGTGTGTGTGTGACAAGTCCCTCCACTCTGTTACATTTTTTTATTTTTATTTTTTGAGATGGAGTCTCGCCCTGTCACCAGGCTGGAGTGCACTGGCACAATCTTGGCCCACTGCAACCTCCGCCTCCCAGGTTCAAGCAATCCTCCTGCCTCAGCCTCCTGAGTAGCTGGAATTACAGGCGCACACCACCACGCATGGCTAATTTTTGTATTTTTAGTAGAGACGAGGTTTCACCATGTTGGTCAGACTGGTCTCGAACTCCTGACCTAGTGATCTGCCCACCTCAGCCTCCCAAAGTGCTGGGATGACCACGCCCGGCCCTGTTACACTCTTTGAGGACTCAATGCATCTGAGCTTTCCAGGCTCTTCCTCTGCTGACATCTGTCCTTCCTCAGTGCTATCTAGCTGACTGTAGATGCTGTTCCTCTTCCACACTCCTGTCCAGGGCTTATTTTTATGTGTTAATACTACCTCAACTAAATTAAGACATGTGAAAACCACCCCAAAATTAGAATCACTTCTAAATTTAAGAAAAGAGACTTCAAGTAAATAGTGGTCTTAAGGCTCAAATGCTTAAAATCCAGTGTTTGTCATCCTAGGCATCCAGTAAGTGCTGTCACTAAATATAACTATAATCCCATTTGCTTTTTCATATGCAGAGTTAACATTAGATTCAACAAAATATCCAAAGTCTGTATATTTGACAGAGAAAAATCTTGGCGTATTCACATTCCATATGGTTAAGGGGAATCTATTGCACCATTCTTCCCCGGCCCTCTCAAACTGTCAGACACCCAGTTCATACTGCAGATGGCAACATCAAATTGGCACCTAAGATAAGTCATTATAAACATATGCACAAATATTTTTTAAATTAAGTATTTTATTTCAAAAGACCTCATAATAGGCTAAAAGTGAAAACGAGCATATCGAATTAACAACAAAAAAACCCCGAGAAACATTAGCAGCATCAGTAAACAATTATATAGCCCGTTCTGCACAATTACTTCAAGAGAACTTGAACACAAAGCTGTAACATAAACAATACATCTGAGAAAAAACTGAAAAATTAATATTCCATTAGTGTAGCTTACCCTTGAAGTTTCTGGACTAGAAAATGGGGAAGATTCCCAAGATCTATTCTCTTTCTCAAAAGAATCATCTTCTTGAAATGCAAATTTCTGCTTAAGTGCATGAGATATTAAAGAAACTGGATCCCAATGTGAATTCTGTCTTTTCCTCTTATGAATGGGTCTACCGCCAGGTGACCTATTTTTTTTTTAAAAAAAAATTGAATTTATTAAAACTTGGATGTAATTTTAGCTCCTTGTTGACAAACATAGCAGGAATACAAGCATAATATCTTACAATTTAATTAGTCTTCAAGAGACTGAAAATAATCTAACCTTCAAGAAATTTTTGCAGTGAACTAAGGAAAGCACAATGAATGAAGAATCAGAAAAACCAAGAACCGATCTGACTTGGGACTCTGCCATAACCCTGTTAGGACCTGAGATTTGTCAGATGTCACTATGCTGAAGATCTTTATTATTGTAATTTTCTAATTTCCTAATGGGTAGGAAAATTCAAATAAGAACTTTTAAAAGGACTAGAGTTCATATCAAAAAAAAAAAAATTTGGCAAATTGTTCATCTGTTTGGGCATTCATTCATTCAATCTTCATTGAATGCCTACTACTACATCCAGCTCCATTTTATGCTTTGGGAGTATTCTGCTTCCTATTCTTACAGCAAGATTATCATCAATATACTAGTGAGTAAGATCATTTGGATGGTAATAAGTGCTGTGAATAAAACAAAACAGAGGCTGGGCATGGTAGCTCATGTCTGTAATCCCAGCACTTTAGGAGGCCAAGGTGGGAGGACTGCTTGAGCTCACGAGTTCGAGAGCAGCCTGGGTAACATAGCGAGACCCCGTCTCTACAAAAAAATTAAAAATTAGCCAGGCAACTACTTGGGAGGTTAAGGCAGGAGGATCACTTGAGCCAAGGAGATCAAGCCTGCTGTGAGTTGTGGCACCACTACACTCCAGCCTGGGTGACAGAGCCTGTCTCAAAAAAAAAAAAAAAAAAAAAAACCTAAATTAAAAAATAAAAAATAGGGAGATGTAGTAGTGACTAGGGACAGAAGCACTTTAGATGAGATATGATCAGGAAAAAAAAAAGCCACTTTAAGGAAGCAACATCCTCTTTAAGAAAATGACAAGGGGTCAGTTTTAGTGTAAACATCTGGGGGTGCATCAGGAAGGAGCTTGGCATGTGTGAGAAATGGAAAAAGGAAACCAACTGCAGCTGGAGCTCAGTGGACAAACACGGGACATAGGAGAGGAGTTCAGCGAGAGAAGCGAGGGCTGGCTCCTGGGGGGACCTACGGACACAGCAGGGGCTCTGGAACTGATTCAAAGCACAATGGAAACTCACAGAAGAGTCTGAAGCAGAAGAATGGCCTGATCTGACTTCTGGTCACTATCTGCAGAATACATAAGGAGGCAAGAATGAAAACAGACCACTGAGGAGGCTGCTGCGGAAGTTCAAGCTAGATAAGAATGGGCTTGGCCTGGGGCGGTGGCAGTGGAGGTCAAGAGGGTCCACAGAATTGAGCTATGTGCTGATGGGAAGTGTGGGAGATAGAACGGAAAATAAAGACGAATGATGATTCCTGGATATTTGTTTTTGTTTTTTTGAGACGGAGTATCGCTTTGTTACCAAGGCTGGGGTGCAGTGGCTCACTGCAACCTCCGCCTCCTGGGCTCAAGCAATTCCCCTGCCTCAGCCTCCTAGTAGCTGGGATTACAGGTGTGCGCCACCATGCCCGGGTAATTTTTGTAGTTTTAGTAGACACAGGGTTTCACCATGTTGGCCAGGCTGGTCTTGAACTCCTGACCTCAAGTGATCTGCCCACCTCGGCCTCCCAAAGTGCTGGGATTACTGGTGTGAGCCACCACACCTGGCCTGATTCCTAGATCTTAAGCAACCGGGTGATCGTGTTGCCATTTGCTAAGATGCAAAAGACATGGGAAAGAACAGGTTTTCAAGGTGGCAGAAAAGAACAGGTAGGAAGGAAAAGTCCTATTTTGGACCTGTGAAATGAGATACCTGTGAGACAGGCAAATAAAGATGTCAAGTAGGAATTTGGGTGTATGCACCCGGGCTCAGAGGAGAGATCAGGGCTAGAAAAATAAACATTTGAGTCATAAGCATACAGCTGGTATTTAGAGCCACAGGACTAGGTGAGCTCACCAAAGGAAACAGCATGGACAGAGAAGAGCGGGGGCTGAGGTCTGAACCAGGTACTTCAACATTTAAAGACCAGGCCCAGGGGGAAGAGTTAAAGGAATAAGAAGGAATAGCCGATGAGGTCAGAGGAAACTTGGGGTATACTTTTCCAGAAACCAAGTAAAGAAAGTGCTCCAGGCTGGGCGCAGTGGCTCACATTTGTAATCCCAGCACTTTGGGAGGCCAAGGCAGGCGGATCACGAGGTCAAGAGATGAGACCACCCTGGCCAATATGGTGAAACCCCATCTCTACTAAAAATACAAAAATTAGCCGGGCATGGTGGCACACACCTGTAGTCCCAGCTACTCGGGAGGCTGAAGCAGGAGAAACACTTGAATCCAAGAGGCAGAGCTTGCAGTGAGCCGAGATCGTGCCACTGCACTCCAGCCTGGCAACAGAGCGAGACTCTGTCTCAAAAAAAAAAAAAGAAAAGAAAGTGTCCAAGGAGAAGATGGGGACCACCATGGGCTGTATCAAATGCTGCCAAGAAGTCAAGTAAGATGAGCAAAGCAAAGAGAGCACTGCATTTAGCCACATGGAGAGTCACTAGTGAAGTAGTTTCCAATGGAGTCACTGTGGGTAGAAGGCGGCATTAATAGAAACAAATTATAGACGACTTCAAGAATTCCTATCAGAAAGGGGAGAAGAACAGAACAACGGCTGAGAGTACATGTGTTCTGAAGTTGGGAAGTACTCAGGTATGAGGAGAAGGATGAGGTAAAGAAGGAAGATTCAGTGATGCAGAACGGCTCATTTTAAGTGAAATCCTTGTGAAGAGGAAAGAGAAGGGAAACCAGTAACCAAAGGAAGAGCCTGGCTATGAATGATGACACTTCGCTCACAACAGCATGCCAGAAGGCAGAGAATCTGCATGGGGAATCTGTAGGTGTAAAGAGGTAAGAGAGCTCATTTGATTGCTCAGCAATGTACAAAACAAAGTTAGCTGTACAGGCAATTCAGGAGAGAGCAGGCGGACAGGAGGCAGAGTCTACTGGCCTTTTAGTTGTTTTTCCAGTGATAGTAACAGTCACAGAGTTGCTGTTTGATACTAAGCCTGATGACATAAGTACAAGATCTAGTTGGGGCCAGGCATGCACCTACAGCCATGGGATTTTTCTCAACAAGCTGCCTCAGGCTCTTCCTTTGGTTACTGGTTTCCCTTCTCTTTCCTCTTCACAAGGATTTCACTTAAAATGAGCCCTTCTGCATCATTGCAAGGAACAAACTCACAACCTCATTAAAAACAGAACTGACTTATCTGTCCTAAGACTATTACTATACAGAAAATACATCTATTTTCTCACCAAAAACCTCACTAAGGGATTTCCAGGTAAACATGGCAAATCCGTTGTGAAATCCTACTAAAATGACAGTAAAGAAATGAAAAAGGTCTATATATCCACAAGGACAAAGAGATTAGAAGGGGGACAGGAGATAAGAATTGCAACCAGATGCTGGAAGCTGGAAAGCTGATGAAAGTGAGAGCGTGGGGCATGAGTGAAAAGTCTGTGCTGAATAGACACTTCTCTCTTGCTCGTCTTTCCCCACTCAGCTCTCCAATGACCTGGCTTGCACCCACTGTGTAATCCCCACCCCTCCTGACCATGAGGGCGACTGAAGAACTTTCTAAGGAAAATCCTGTAGCCCAAAAGAAAAGACATACAGCTCTGGGATGTGGCCAACAAAATGGTCCTCTCCCTAATCACTAAATCGTGAAGCCCCCAAGTTGATAAGCCCACCTCACACAAAGAACATGCAATCAGCTTTTCCTTGTCTCATTTTTAAATAAGAATCATCAGATGCTTAAACAAGGCTACAAAACTAAAGATAGAGATCAAAGCTAAATGGAAAAAAGAAACTCACAAAAAATAGAGTAATTCAAGAAGACAGAAAAACTTAAAACAAACCTATACTTTTAATACTGTCAGTGGGATAAGACCAATAAAACCAAAAAGATTTTAAAAAGAAGCACTTGAAGAAAAAGAAACAGCTGTTAAAAATTAAAAATGTGGGCCAGGCACAGTGGCTCACACCTGTAATCCCAGCACTTTGGGAGGCTGAGGCCAGCGGATCGTAAGGTCAGTTCACTACAAAAAGTAGCTGGGCATGGTGGCACGTGCCTGTAATCCCAGCTACTCGGGAGGCTGAGGCAAGAGAATTGCTTGAACCAACACCCGGGAGGCAGAAGTTGCAGTGAGCCAAGATCATGCCACTGCACTCCAGCCTAGGCGACAGAGCCAGACTCCGTCTCAAAAAAAAGAATAAAAGAACATTTTTGGACATGCAAAGTATTAAACTAATCTACCTTTTATGTTTCTCCAGAAGCTACAGGAAGATATGACATTTAGGAAATCAGTGATGCAGCATAGAAAAAAAGGGGGCAAGAATGCTCAAGAGGTAAGCGAAGGAAATCCTTCGGGCACAGAGGGATCCTCGAGGAGAACCACCAAGAACTAAATGGAGGTTCATCCAAAAATTAGAAATAGAACTACCCTATGATCCAGCAATCCCACTTCTGGGTACTTATCCAAAAGAAGTGAAATCAGTATCTCAAAGACATATCTGCACACCCACATTCATTGGAGTGCTATTCACAATAGACAAGACATGGAAGCAAACTAAATGTCTACCAACAGATGAATGGATTAAGAAACAGGATATATACATATAATAGACTATACAGTATGCTAAGTGAAATAAGTCAGTCACAAAAAGATAAATGCTGCATGATTCACTTATATGAGGTATCTAAAGTAATCAAACTAGGCCGGGCACAGTGGCTCTCGCCTGTAATCCCAGTACTTTGAGAGACCGAGGCAGGAGGATTGCTTGAGCCCAGGAGTTCAAGATCAGCCCGGGCAACACAGTGAAATCCTGTCTCTATTTTTTTTTTAATAAGATAAAATAAAAAATAAAGCAATCAAACTACAGAGGTAGAAAGAAGAATGGCAGTTGCCAGGGGATGAGGGGAGAGGGAAACAATTACTGTTCAATGAGTATAAAATTTCAGTTATGCAAGATGAAAAAGCTCTAGAGACCTGTTGTACAACATTATGCTTATGGTTAATGATACCGTATTACACACATAAAAATCTGGTAACAGAACAGAGCTCATTATGTTTTTTCACCACACACACACACACAAATGCAACTCAGAGAGGCAATTATTAACTCTAAAAAAATTATTCAACAAACAAAATGTAGTCAAAATATATGAAATGGGGCCAGGCACAGTGACTCACACCTATAATCCCAGCACTTTGGGAGGCCAACATGGGCAGATCGCTTGAGCTCAGGAGTTCGAGACCAGCCTGGGCAACATGGCGAAACCTCATCTCTACAAAAAATACAAAAATTAGCCAGGCATGGTGGCACATGCCTATAGTCCCAACTACTAAGAAAGCTTAGGTGGGAGGATCACTTGAGCCCAGAAGGTCGAGGCTGCAGTGAGCTGTAATTTCAACACTGCCCTCCAGCCTGGGTTACAATATGAGAAATGGCTTACTGTGGATGTTTACCATTATAATAAGGATATTAATTTTGAATACTCATTTAACTAAAGATTGTGGTTTCACTATTTCAGGAAAACGTAGCAAGATGTGTGTGTGTAGAATATCTAAGAAAATATACTCCTTATATCCTACAATTGGAAGTCAATATAATTAAAATATCAAGAAATAGCAAATAAGTATGTTGTTTCAAAAATATGGTGATAAGAGACAGTAAAAGAAGTAGTCAAAAATAATTGAATGTCATTATCTATGGGATAGGCATTCAGGGGTAAAGAATAAGAAAAAAGACATATATGTTAATTTTCATAAACATAATAATTTTTCTAAACATACAATTGACAAAATTTCAGTTCACTTTTCAAATTACAACAACATACCGCTCAATTGCACGAAGCTTAACCTTATTCATATCCTTTAGAACATCCAACATGTTTGGAATATCTTTATTTCTCTGGCTTTTTGAATGATGACTATAATTGGTCTTATTAGCAGCCAGGTTCTGTTTGTTCATTTCAGTAGCTGGATTATCTGAGTCACAAATATTACTAGATCTTGGTTGTACGGGAGGAAAACTCAGTGGCTGGAGAGATGAAAAATGAGGAGGAAGTGGTGGTGGAGGAGGAGGAGAAGAAAGCACTGAACTTGGAAACTGATCCGGCTCCACACTCAGACGGGCAGCCCGCGATGATGACAACTGGCCCAAACTAATGGGCTTGTCATTCAAGCCAAAGGAACCTACAAACAAAGTGGTTGATTACAAAATCATGCACAATTATCTCTAACGTAATATATGTTAATAACACTAATTAGAACCAAAACAGGAGCAATTTCTGTAATGCTACTAAAAGTAGCGATATAGTAGCAAGGAAAGAGAATCAATTCCATCTCCTTAGTAATTTAAGAGTCAGGTCAAATTGTGAATTCATTTTTAATCCAGTTAGGAATTTTCAGTGTAGGCCCAAGAGCAGAGGGGGTTGGAGAATGCATTTTAAACAAACAAACAAAAAAATGTGTTTTTTCAGTAATTCACATACACTCTGAACTTCATCCTTTATTTTAAAAAGCTAAAACATAATCAACAACTTGTAGTTAGAAATACAAATTGATGTATTCACTCTATAATGACATTGGAGAAATAAGCATATTATTTTCTAAGCAAAGCTTAAGATGAATACTGAGTATTTAACTTTTCCACAACAGATTTGCTCCTAAAGGACTGTGGGTAAACATGATTGCTTAAGAAAACTGTGTATAGTTATATATCATTTTACTTATTATGTATAAATGTTATTGTATATTATATAATGTGTTTATATGTAAATTATGTTATAAATATACACTGTATAAATATATTAAATTATAGGTGTATTTATGCATTTGTATACATATGTATTAAAAAATTTTTAGCAATTATATTTACACACAGCCCTTTACAGCCAAATCTGTTGTGAAAAGCATTCAGTACCTAGATTGCTTTACATTTGATACACACATACACAAATACATACACATTGTGTGTGTGTGTGTGCATATGTTTAAAGCAAGCTGTATCTCTATAAATTTATAAAACAATCATCAGGAAAACATTACTCACCTCAACTTGCTGGAAGTGTAGCAGCAATAACTAAAAACTATAAACATATATCCTCAAACCTATATCCTCTTTCAAACCAGTGCATTCTTCCTCTTTAATCTCCAATGCTTTCATGAGGAGTTAGAAAAGCTTTCTGAGGGCCGGGCACGGTGGCTCACGCCTGTAATCCCAGCACTTTGGGAGGCCGAGGTAGGTGGATCACGAGGTCAGCAGATCGAGACCATCCTGGCTAACACAGTGAAACCCCGTCTCCACTAAAAATACAAAAAATTAGCCAGGCATGGTGGCGGGCGCCTGTAGTCCCAGCTACTCAGGAGGCTGAGGCAGGAGAATGGCGTGAACCCGGGAGGCGGAGCTTGCAGTGAGCCGAGATCACGCCACTGCACTCCAGCCTGGGCAACAGAGGGAGACTCCGTCTCAAAAAAAAAAAAAAAAAGAAAGAAAAGAAAAGAAAAGCTTACATAGAAGACAACAGACTTTTTAATACAAAAATACAATCTTCTAGTATAGTAAAGCTAGTTCTTTAAATCAAAGCCATCCCCTCACTACAAATGTGTCTTAATTTATCTTGAATAAACATCAGATATAATAATTTTGTATATCCAACATCCTTTTATGTGCATTTAATGTTTTCATGGTACTTATTCAGAATTGTACTCACTTAAATATTAGATGTTCCTGTATGCTACTGTATGTACTACATTCAGTACAGTATCATGCTGTACAGGTTGGTGTAGGCTATACCATGAGTATCATCTAACTGAAACAAAACTCCTGGTGTTACTTACTAGAATGTGCACTGTTTTTCAGTTCCTGCATTTCCACAATTGCTGCAATCTGAGAGCGAAGAAAAGTCAGCTCATTTTCAAGGGCAGCTATTTTTTTAATTGCAGCTTCATTTACAGGCATATCATTTTTCACTGTTTCTTTCTGTCTTACAGCAGGTGACAGTGGATCCCGAACTAGCTGCAAAGGATGAAAAATTTCCACCTTCTCTTCTTCATTTTTCCATATACTATTTCTGTGGGTGAAAAAAACAAGAAATGAAAATCAAAAGACAATAAAACAAAATAAAAGCTACTCTCAGGCCAGGCACGGTGGCTCACGCCTGTAATCCCAACACTTTGGGAGGCTGAGGCAGTGAATCACCTGAGGACAGGAGTTTGAGACCAGCCTGGTCAAAATGGCGAAACCCTGTCTCTACTAAAAATATTTTTAAAAATTAGCTGGGTGTGATGGCGTGGCCCTGTAGTCCCAGCTACTCAGGAGGCTGTGGCAGGAGAATCGCTTGAGCCTGGGAGGCAGAGGTTGCAGTGAGCCAAGATCGTGCCATTGCACTCCAGCCTGGTTGACAGAGTGAACCTTCGTCTCCAAAAAAAAAAACTACTCTCTACCCCCCATGATTGTTTCTAGAGTCACTAAGGACAAGGAAAACATCTTATTTAGCTTTGTATTCCCAATATAAACAGAACGTAGCCTCCAATAAAGGACCATTCAGTGACCAGGGAATGAACAAAAGAAACCCTGCTTTTAGATTATAAAACAAAAATAATTATCCTGCAATTGCTCTACTTATTAACTTTAAATGCAGGTAAGTTAATTTATTTAGAAGTTCTATATAAGTTAATAAAGAGTCTTACATTCAGGATTACATTAGGGTGAAATGTATGTTCTTTTAACTATTTGAAAATTGGTGCCAGTTTGATACATCAGCCAGAATACTTAAAGAATTGACACTGTGCTTAGAGCCTGTATCTGAATATACTAACATATAAGGTAATACTCTCTAGGAGTAACACATCCAAATTTTGAAATACATTTAACATCATTGCCTGGTGCACAGTAAACACTATGTAAGTTTTGGCTAAATATATGATTCTAATATCCCTTTGATAACCACTCCCTCCTAGGCCTGGTGTTAGGTTTAAATATGCATTAAAAAAAAAAAAACTGGCTAAAAAAATGAAAAACAGCCAGGCTTCTTTACTAGGAAGATATAGTAGGGCACAGCACAGTTTGAAGATAAACAAAACAAAAAAAGCTCCATCAATCGGAACAAGCTTCGACACAAGCAAGAATTCAGTTTATAGCCCATTTCCCAAGGTAAGCATATAAAATTACCGAAATCTGAGATAACTGGCTTCTTCATCATTTGCCACATACAAAATATCAGCAAAAGAAGGAACCACAGATCCACAATTTTCAGAGTCTACAGAGTTCAAGAGCGGGATCAACTAAAGTAAAAAAAAAAAAAAAAAAAAAGTCAGAGCTCTGCAGGGAGTCAGGAGAAGACACATGCCCCATGGTATTAAATTAGTTAATGATCTAAAAGAAAGAAAAAGAAAAAGAATATTCAATAGAAAAACATGCACCTGTTAGCAAGAAAGAACACTGGGAAAAATGTTATGCTGAAGTCTAAGCACTAAGCAATATTCTCTCCTCTGGTTAATTTCATCTATCATAAAATGCAAAATAAAATTAAATAAGCTCTTCAGTTATTGTTCACACTTGCCCATCTGTGAATGTCATTACAGACATGTACCACGTAACGTTTAGGTTGATGATGGACTGCATATACATGGGGTCACATAAGATTACAATGAAACTGAAATATTCCTATGATGAGTATTTACTATATTATACTTTCTATTATTATTTTAGAGTATATTCCTTCTACTTTAAAAGAAAAGTTGGCTGAGCATGGTGGTGCATTCCTGTAATCCCAGCACTTTGGGAGGCCAAGGCAGGAGGCTCAATTAAGGCCAGCAGTTCAAGACCAGCCAGGGCAACAAAGCAAGATCCTGTCCCTATCAGACGAAAAAAAAAAGTTAGCCAGGTGTGGTGGCACACACCTCCCAAGCAGTTCCAGCTACTCAGGAGGCTGAGGTGGGAGGATCACTTGAGCCCAGGAGGTTGAGGCTGCAGTGAGCCATTATCATGTCACTGCACTTTGGCCTGGGCGACAGCAAGACCTTATCTAAAAAAAAATTTAAAAAAATAAAAAGTTAACTATAACGCAGCCTCAGGAAGATCCTTCAGAAGGTATTCCAGAAGGTATTGTTATCGTTGGAGGTGACAGCTCCATGCATGTTATTGCCACTGAAGGTCTTCCAATAGGACAAGATGTGGAGGTAGAAGACAGTGATACTGATGAGTCTGCCCCGGGTAGGCCTAGGCTAACATGTGTGTTAAACTCTTAGTTTTAACAAAAAAAATTTAAAAAGTACAAAAAATTAAAAAATTTTTAAATCATAAAAAGCTTATAGAATAAGGATACAAAAAATATTTGGATAGCTGTACAATGTGTTTTAAGATAAGTGTTACTACAAAAGAGTCAAAAAGTTTTTACAAAATAAAAACATTTATAAAAAAGTTACAGTAAGCTAAGGTTAATGTATTATTGAAGAAAGAGTTTTTGTATAAATTTAGTGTAGCCTAAGTGTACAGTGTTTATAAAGTCTACAGTAGTGTACAGTAATGTCCTAGGCCTTTAAATTCACTCACCACTCACTGACTCACCTAGAGCAACTTCCCGTCTTCCATTCATGGTAGGTGCCCTACACAGAGGTAACATTTTTTATCTTTTTATTAGACTGTTACTGTACTTTTTCTATGTTTAGATACACAAACACTTATCATTATGTAACAACTGCCTACAGTATTCAGTACAGTAACATGCTGTACAGGTTTGCAGACTAGAAGCAACAGGTCATACCATATAGCCTGGGTGCGCAGTAGGCCATATACCATCTAGGTTTGTGCCAGTATACTCTGTGATGTTTGCACAATGACAAAATCACTGAACAATGCATTTCTCAGAATGTATCCCCCCATCATTAAATGATGCATGATTGTATTTAAAAAAACAAAACCACAAAAACATATATGAAATGGCTTGTTCCCAAGGGTAAATTAAAGGTTTTTGGCTTGCAGGAAATGTTTCTTCCTTTGTTGTTCTACCCTGTATCTGTAAGAGTACCTAGGATTATTTTGTACCTGGTACTTAAACAATTTATGTTGACTGACTTACCTCAAAATTAGGTCTTCGACAAGGTTCTAATGGAAGCATTTTCCCAATAATACGAACAATACTCCTAGTTGATCCATAGTCTTTATTTTCCCAAATCAGCAAAACCTATTTTAAACATAAAGTATGAATTAAAATGCACTCTGATTAAGCAGATTTATATAAGTATGAAAAAAGGAGATGTAAAAAAGATGCGGTGGCATTTTTTTAAAAAATACAGGGAGTCCTGTAAAATACATTTATTTTTAAAAAGAAGTATAGAATAGGAGAGCCTTTCTTCAAAGAATAGAACTTTATGAGTATTTGTCTAAAAAAAAGATGGTAGTAAACATATATACATTCCAGGAAGATCTTTTAAAAAGCACAATTCATTTTGTTCTGTTTCTGATAATGTTCAAATACCCTGGAGGAAACTTTGTTCAAAAAAATTGCATCCCCTCCTCCAGCTACAAATCCCATCTTTTTGGCCCAACCAAAAATTGACAATTTCAATTTATCAAGCAACGAGGTAATACAGAGTATACTTATGTAATTTCCTTTAAAGGAGAAATAAAAAAGGGAATAAATAAATCAGGTCCTAGACAATTCAAAGAGTTATTGACATAAAGCAAAATGTATCTGCTGGCAGTAAGCTCTTGAAAAGGTATTAGAAGTGAAAATGTGCCATTAGAGCTCAAATAATACTTCGTCCTTTAGTGTGGGCTTCCCAAATTAGTGTAAACCATTGCCACAGGAACCACTCTCCCCCACCAGCCAAAAGATATAATAAATTGGACATTTTTCCTAATATCCCAACAGATATAAGTAGCATCCTATAGGCATCCTCGTTAAAACATCCAATAAACAGCCTGTCTCAGCTGTTAAACAACAGCAACAACCAACAACAGCAGGCTAAGTAAACTGTGGGTTATGCACCTGCGTGTTGATTGTGACCCATCGTATGAGGTTAGGTGTAAAATTTTCCCATTGTGGTGTCATGCTGGCACTCAAGTAGTTTGGGATTTTGGAGCATTTCAGATTTCAGGTTTTGAGTGATGCTCAACTGATAATATTTTTAAATTGCTAAGATTATTTCACATTTTTTTCACACTCAGTCTTCAAAATCCCCTATATAGTTTACACCTACAGAAGATCTCAATTCAGATATTTTGAGTACTTAAAAGTGACATGTGGCCAGTGGCTATCATACTGGATTTCACAGCCTAGAGGATATAGATCCCAGACCTATTACTAGTAGAATATTTGGAGGACTGAGCATTTATATTTAAAATATTCTATAGACCATTCATCTGCATAGCCCTGCTAAGAACCACAGGCATAGAGGCTTTGCTACCATGAGGGCTACCTACAGCATATACAGTCACCCAAGAGTTGGGTTAGCTCTTAATTTAAATGATACCTTCCTATCTTGCTCGGCAGTTTCTATCCTAATAAACTCCCGTCCTTCCTCTCATTCCTTCATTGCCCCTGGACATCTTCACCGCTTTCGTTGTTGCTGTTGTTTGCTTTTTGAGGTGTTTTTTTTTTTTTTTTTTTTTTTGAGATGGCGTTTCACTCTGTCACCCAGGCTGGAGTGCAGGGGCATATCAGGGTTCACTGCAACCTCCATCTCCCAGGCTCAAGCAGTTCTCCTACCTCAGCTTCTGGAGTAGCTGGGACCACAGGTGCACACGACCATGCCTGGTTAATTTTTGTATTTTTTATAGAGCCGAGGTTTCAACATGTTACCCAAGCTGGTCTTGAAAACCTGAGCTCAAGTGATCTGCCTGCCTCAGCCTCCCAAAGTGTTGGGATTACAGGAGTGACCCACCACATCTGGCCATCTTCATCATTCTTGTTATTTCATCTTCCCTCTATTCCTGGTCTAGCATCCACATTTCGACTTCACTAATTTTCCTACCAAGCATGGATTTTCTGGTTAATTATTTCAGTAATATGTTCAATGTCACTCAAAAATGGTTCATTCTTTTGATATTATGTGCTCCCACATTGCTAATGAATACACGACCCTAATTACTCTTAGCTAGGGAAAAAAAAAAGACAAAATTTAGAAAAACTATGACTCCATGATGACTTCAGCTGGGTTCTCACAGGTATTCTGAAATCCCTTCATAACAAGTTAGATTCTATACCACATTGCCCAGAGCAGTCTCCAATCTCTGAAATTCCTTCTCAAATCCCACCACTTCATTACCTGCAAGTGACCTTGTCTCTGCTCTTACTGAGAAAACCGAGAACTTCAACTTGTCAACTTGACATACCTCAACTTCATTTCTCTTACTTAGCTCCATTCAAAATCTCTTTTCAGGCCGGGCACAGGGGCTCACGCCTGTAATCCCAGCACTTCGGAAGGCCAAGGCAGGTAGATCACTTGAGGTGAGGAATTCAAGACCAGTCTGTCCAACGTGGTAAAACCCCATCTCTACTAAAAATATAAAAGTCGTTGGGCATTGGTGGCAGGCTCCTAAACCCAGCTACTCAGCAGGCTGGGGCAGGTGAATCACTTGAACCTGGGAGCAGAGGTTGCAGTGAGCCAAGACTGCACCACTGCACTCCAGCCTGGACAATAGAGCAAGACTCAATCTTAGAAGAAAAAACAAAATCTCTTTTCACTCTCTCTCACTTTCATTCTGTTCTTTAAGGCAGGAGAGTCTCTCTCCTTTCCAAGACTTATTTAATTAGATCCCTTGCCCAACTACCTTCTCAAAGGTGTTGTTCAATCACTCTCTCATGTGTATCTTAAATTTCTTCCTGTCTGTTTCTTCCAGAGTGATGACAAATATGCTGAAGTTACTTTTAACTTTAAAAATAAAAATAAAAATTCCATCCTGCAGCCCCTTCAAGTTGATGGCCTCTCTTAATTTCTTTTCACAAGCAAACTTTTCAAAAGAAGGTTGCTGATCCCACTTCCCTTCCTGACATTCTTCAAACTACTCCAACACAGTCCCATTCTCCACTTACAGAAATTCTTAGGGGCACCAATAATGCAATAGTGATAAACAACTGTTCAGCTGTTATCTTCAGTCTCTTCATTACTGAAATGTAAAATGTTTCAATCACATCTAATGACATTTGCCATTATCAAGGTCCATGGCTTCAAATATCAAAACAAAGCAGGTAACTCCCAAAACTGAATCTTTTTCTTCCCTACATTCTAAAACCATATATATATATCCAATTGTCTGAAGGATATTTCTACTTATATGTTCTAACATCACCTCTGACTCACCTCATCTCCATATTCAAACTACTTTCTCATACTAATATGCCCATTTATAATAATGGCACCATCATTTTTCAACTTACTTTTGCTTTAAAAAAATATTAAATTATCCGTGACTACTTTCTTCTAATTCACCCCACCTGTTTTCCTTATAGTCAATCTCATATTACAGTTATCTTTATTGTTTCTTATTCTTCATATTTTAAGTATTATGAATGCAAGAACCATGTATTACTCCTCTGTATTACCTGCAGAAACAAGCATATTGTCTTTAGATACAGTAGATGTTCAACAAGTAGATAAAATTTGATTTGCTTATGATAGAGTTTGGCTATGTCCCCGCCGAAATCTCACCTTGAATTGTAATTATCCTCACGTGTCAAGGGTGGGGCCAGGTGAAGATAACTGAATCATGGGGGCAGCTTCCCCCATACTATGCTCATGGTAGTGAATAAGTCTCATGAGATGTGATGGTTTTATAAAAGGGAGTTCCCCTGCACAAGTTCTCTTGTCTGCCACTATGTAAGATGTGACTTTGCTACTCATTTGCCTTCAGCCATGACTGTGAGGCCTCCCCAGCCATGTGGAACTGTGAGTCAATTAAACCTCTTTCCTTTATAAATTACCCAGTCTCGGGTATGTCTTTATTAGCAGCATGAGAACAGACTAATACAGTTTTTTTTCAGGCCTAAATCACCCTCTTTCCATTAGATTTATTCTGGATTTATCGAGGTTTAAATATTGAACTGGTTTATAAATTACCCTGAATAGAAGTTTTAATGTATCTGTGCAATAAATGTAATTCTGTGAAGGTCATGTCTGTATTTTGCTTCCTTTGTATCTTCTGTTGGCATTTGTCCTATCAGGTAAATATGTTCTCAATAATCTCATCCCTCTTCTAACTCAAACCATCAAAGCTATACTATTGCAAACTCACCTTTGTCCCACCTAAAAAGAAGCAACAATTTTGCCTTAAATCAAATGACTACATACAAGTCATTTCAAAATGAAACCCAAGAACAAATACAACAGATCCATTCCAATCCATTAAAAGATATTTACCTGGTCTACAGGAATGCCAAAATATTCCAGCATCTCTCTTAAGATATTCAGTATGAGAGACATTGATGAAGCAAATACAGAAGCCAATTCAAAGGAACATTATCAGTTTCTTGGTGCCTTTGGGGAAAATTTTAGAAAATGTTACTCTTGACAAATAAATGCCACACAAATTGTACTACATAACCTGGAAAAGTCCTCTTGATACACACTACACCGTCAACTAATTTCTCCTAGCCAGCACTATTTTGAAGGAAGTCAAAGAAAAAGAAAGGAAGGGGAAGTCTGGGGGAAAGAGAGGGTTGTAAAGGAAATTTCAATTTATTGGTTAAATTACATTAAAACCTCATAGGATGTCTGAGCTTATGAAGGGGCCTAGTTAACAGAGACCAATCAAGAACAAACTGGACATCTACTTAGGCAAGGCTTCAAGTTACATGCCACAGCGAAGCTCGCTTTCCTGAAAGCTTTGGGCTGAGACTCACCAGATGGGTGAGTTTAGCCGACCCTTGAAAGCAGGCAAGGGCCCGACTCAAAGTTTTTAAAAAATGAACAGCTCTTCTCACACACATATCGAAGTACTGCCCATCCCTCCTCGCTCTTTTAAAATAACGAGCATGAATTCCAGATAGGTGACGTGACTTGGTCACCCATCTAGTAACAGGCCGTGACCAGAGCCGGATCGCGTCCCTCGCTTTGGCCACAAGCTTCCTGGTGCTCTCCAAACACAGCGTGGTAGCCTTGCTCACCTTCCTCTGAAGCCGAGACACCAGAACATCAAGTGGAGGGGTTAGGAATTCCCAATCAAATTCCAGACTGCGCCACTCCTTGTCCACATCGCTCAGACGTCTACCCAGACCTCGACCCAGTTTCCACCCGCGCGCCTCGGCTTGCAGCCACAGGCGGTAACGATGACCTCAGCGAGGAACAAGAGGTCGACCCAGTGCCCAGCCCTGGAGCCTCACGTTCAGCCACAGTAACGTTACGGGAAGCTCGCCCACCTCCTCCCGCATCCAACCAACCCACCTTCTCGTCCCTAGGACTGGACTGCTACTTCCGCATGACGGGCCAGCTACTTCCGCATCCCAGGACGAAATCAAACTCCGCGGGCCAGGACCCGTACCCAGTCTCATTGGGCAAAACTGAAGATCGCTGCTTCTGATTGGTCATGCATTCGGGAAGCGACGGCTTTTCCTTCTCAAGAGGCGGGTCTTCCGAGAGACAGCCAATAGGAGATGACGGGCAGGGCAGGTCGCGTTAGGACGGCGGCGCTCGCGCAGGGCAAGGTTTTAGGTACAAAGCCGTGAGCTGGACTCGCAGTCCAGAGTTCGTACTCCATATGACTCTTCGCAGGGAGTGTGTTACTCACTACAGCCGGACCCTAAGCGCATCCGCCTTCCCAAGTTCACCTGACACAGTCGCGATTTATTTTTTGGTTATTTCATTTGTTCAGCTAATATTAAAATACCTGTGGGACTAGCAGAAGCCAAGCACTACCCCCGAGGGTTCTGAAGCTTTGCAGTGGCTAGGGTTCATTTGTTAGTTCACTAAATACACCTAAGTATCCAGGCTACCGAATATGGGTCGGACACTCCTGGCTTAGCCGAGGACGGCAAGTGATGACAGGTGGTATCTCAGTTTTCATTTCTGATTTGAGATTATTGGCTTCATACGAAATAGCTCTCTCTTCTGAATTTCAGCAAGACGTGCACTGGAGTAATATAACAACTTAAGATGTGTGCCTGCTACTGATATAATTTGAAAATATAAGTTTTTAATTTATCTATGGTAAACATCATTTACTCATTCAACCAATAATGGATATCTACTACGTAGCAGACACCATTCTAAGCACGGAAAAATGCCTTAATCAGCAGGGCAGGTCCTTGTTTCCTGGAGCTTACATGCCAGTGGGGCATCTCTTTCCATTCTAACCCTCATTTGCTTTTCTCTATAGCACTTACCGTCATATTCAGATATGCTTCCCCTACTACCAAACAAAATTGTACACTCCAGGAGAACAGGAATTTGTTTTGATCCATGCTGTATCTTTCCCCAGTGCTTTAGAAGAGTGTCTGGTATATAACAGGCATTCAGTTCGTTTGTTGAATAAAATACCTAAATGTGGTATGACAGAAAAGATGATAATGATTTGGGACTAAGCAACTAGCAAAACAATTGATAGCAATTACAGTGATATGCCCAGTAGTCTGAGCTGGATATGGTTGAAAGTGCAGAACAAGGATGATGATGGATCAGAAACCCCACATGGAGTAAGTCACAATTTTCTCAAGTTCCTTGTCCTTCCCTATGGCCTTGTGAATAAATCACGGCTTTATAACCCCCTCCCTTTCCTACTCTCTTATCAAACAGCAGAGTCAGAATGAAAACATTCCTGCAGAATAAGAAGGGAACCACTACTGTTCCAGCTGCACTATTAGTATAGCTTAATATTCCAACTGATTTAGATAGCAAGGAGGACCCAGATCAAATACTACATCCATGAATGCTTTGCTGACAACTTTCTTCTAAATTCTTCAGAGACATTTCCTCCACGGTTTACTAAAGCATTCATAATTCCATTTTGACAAAATCCTTTTATGTGATTGGACATTTTTTCCATTGCTCATTTTTACATGAAATTAGATTTTCCTGAACTCTTAGAATGATAAGGTCCAAGAAAGCTTTTCTGACACCACAAAGCTAGCTTTTCTGTTGTCTCTGAGTAGTGTTAAAAAATATGGTGGCTTGCTTTCTGAGGTTTTCCTGTGTTCCCCTCCCCCAGTTTGATCCAGGCAGAAAACTTGCTATTCACAAGCTGCATGTAAAAGTATCTAGTAGTCAATTATTAGCTCATTATATTGAATTAGCTCATTATATTGAGCTGGTAAGCCTATGTCCCTAAGATTTTTTACCTACTGACTGATTTGTCCTTTAAACATGTAACATGTTAAAATGAGGAGATCGGACAAGGAAGTATCAAATACCAGTCTCCTGATCCTATGTGATTTGAACGTGTCTCTTATCTGGGAATGGCCTTTAAGGATTTCAACACAGCAATCAAGAACCTATCTGGGCCAGGAGCGGTAGCTCACGCCTATAATCCCAGCACATTTTTAACACAACTCAGACTGTACATGTTTCAAGCAGCAGCAGCCATAAAATTAAATCAAGCCTTTATAAATATGGAATTACCATTCTTTCATTTATACACTCAAGGACCATTTATGACATAACTACAGTATGTGTGCCAAGCACAATACTAAATGGCAATATTTTATTCTGGCGGAGACACATAAGTGGAATGAATTACTAGTCTAATATGTGCTGCATTCAGTGGCCTCAGAACAAAAACAGGAATTGGAAATTTTTTGCTCGGGTGTAAGACTTTTAGATAAGTGAACAAGGAGTAGCATAAGGCAAAGCGGCCAAAAACAGTTCATAGGGAGTTCCTATAGTTCATCATGGCTAAGGTTCAGACAACAGGAAGACATCAATGAGTAAATTTTGGTTTTAAAATGATTGTAATTTTGCACTTGAAAAACATCCCAGAGATGGCAATATAAAGATTAAATTTATGGGTAGAGTCCAAACTAGGAGACCAATGCAGCAGTTGGGGATAGTGATGAGCATCTATTATTGGGGGTGGGGGTTTTGGTGGGGGCAGCGGTAGAGAGGAAAAGACAGAACATACACTTTATAGGGATGTCCAACTAGCTTAATGGATAAAGGAAAGAACATCAGTTTGCAGTAGGATGGGGTACAGGTGATGAATTCAGTTTGGAGTGTTGAAGTTCCAGCAGAACTATCCAGGGAAGAGTTGGAGAGAAAAAATGGAGTTCAGGAGAGAAGTTTAAGAGTTAAATTTCAGAGTCACCACCATCTAGATAAAAATGTTTGAAAACCTGTCATTCACAAAGTACTTCCATTCTTGTTCCTTCCACATACCAATGTTATTTACTAATTTTTGCTACCCCCTCTCACTTTGTAAACTTAGCCATAGACAATACCTGTGAAATGCTGGATCTGAAGTGCTAGAACATGTTTAACACTAACCTGAAATATGACTGCACCATGAAAACTCTTTACGGCTGTTCCAATTACTTTCAGGGCTTCATCTGAAATCTGTATTGCTTTTCTACTTCCTTTTAAACAATAGCTTATCTTTTGGAATATTCAAATAGTAAAATGGCAAGAGAACTTTGTATAAATTGTAAGCTTGGAAATTTTGAATAAAAGTAGTATTTAAAATAATGTGAGGAAAGTTTGACATTGAAAATGAGTAATAGGCCGGTCGCAGTGGCTCGCGCCTGTAATCCCAGCACTTTGGGAGGCTGAGGTGGGTGGATCACAAGGTCAAGAGATCCAGACCATCCTGGCCAACGTGGTGAAACCCCGTCTCTACTAAAAATACAAAAAATTAGCCTGGGGCGTGGTGGCAGGCGCCTGTAGTCCCAGCTATTTGGGAGGCTGAGGCAGGAGAATCACTTGAACCCAGGAGGTGGAGCTTGCAGTGAGCCGAGATTGCGCCACCGCACAGAGCAAGACTCCGTCACAAAAAGAGAAAATGAATAATTAGCACTGAGAGGTTTAGTGTCATCACCTACATTTTTCTCCTACACCTTATCCTACTATACATTATAATACCTTATGCCAGAAACTCTATTAGCTCAGGAGATGATCCATTTTTGTCTAAAATCCCTCTTATGTAAGGCAGTCATATTCCTTGATGAGCTTTAAACAATTTAGCACTGGGTTGATTGTATTATCAGGGGATTCTGAGGTATTAGATTTTCTCAGATGGATATTTAACCCTTTAGACAGTTGTCACACCTTAAAACTTTTTCATCAAAGTTTTTATTAAATATAATCACACATTTCCAACTAATCTTTTATGACTTAGGATTAACACTATGATATTGTGTAGTTCTGTTATGCAGCGATACTCCTAAATATTACTTAGCCAGGCGGGACTTAGCTTGACTTTTCAACTCACTATGGTATTTTAACTTTAGTTCTGCTGTCCTTTTCCTTAATGGCGACTGTGACTATCAAATGGCTTCTGCAAACAGTACATTATTCAAAACAGGTAGTTGCTGTTATATATACGAAATTTATTACTGGGCAGTGTTGAGAACTATTTTTGAAACCTCTCCATAAAGGATCTGCTCTTACCTGCTTTTTGTATCAATACTCACATCTCATTTTCAACGTATTCCCTCAATGTAACACAGTGCAGGACTGACATTTGTCCAGGATACCAGAAAATTATGTTAAAAAAACATGTCAACATACCATGTGTCTAAAATTTTTAGGCTTCCCAGCGTTTAGGAAAGAGGCGAGTCTAAATAGATGAACCCTGAATTAGAGACAGAGAACTTGATCCTTAAAAGTATCAAAGAGTTAACTAGAAGAATCCTGATTTGCATATTAATACCCCATTATTTGGAGTCTAGCTCATTCAAAAAATAGTCTATGATTATATTATATAAATATATAATGCAAGAAAATATTTTCACATATTACAGTGCAAGAATAAAAATGAGAAAAGGGCAGAGCCTTATCTTGTTGCTGCTCTAGTGCCTAGCTCTACTTATCAAACTAGTGAAACAAAACATAGAACTTTAAAACTGCAAGTTATATCCATGTAACAGTTGCTTTAAGAATATACATCCTAATCCAATTACTCTGCTACATATTCCTAATACCTGGAGCACTATCATATTCAGGTAAGATGGTTTTAAGGCCTCTTATTTTTACTGTTACACTCTGGCATCATGCCCTCAGCCACCAGAAAAAAATGTTGCAAGAAACACTCATTTGAAAACCTGTTCCTATTCTAGGAACATCAACATCTAAATAAAAACCTAAGGACAAGTATCTCAAGATTTGGTAGCAGGAATAGTTATGCTTCCCAGAAGTGGTTTCATTTGACACTGAAAATTGCATACCTTATTTCCCTTCTTCATATAGCTACTATTGGCCAATTCAAGCTCTGCATCTTTTTCCTTTAGTGACAGACTAGCCAAATACTTCCTAAGTGTTGCTCAAGTTGAGAATACACAATAAAATCAAGATATAATATTGTCCTAAGTGGGCAGACAGCTAAATCTGTTAACTACATGAGAAGCCATATGCTTTTTTTCCCCCAAATTCTCTAACCTCCCCAAACGTCAACTAGAGTTTTACATTCTAAAGCTAAGATTCCAGAATCACTTTATATAACTCAGTTCTGTTAACTGAACCTTATCTTTTGTAAAGGACAATATTCATGTTTTTAAATACGGAAGATTATCTTAAGGTTATAACAAGGGAAAAAAGTATACTTTGAAATCTAGAAAGGACTACAAAAACAATGTGTTTTAGTTTTCCAGTAAGTCATGAATGGAACTTTTTCTTTTAAATAAGCAGCATCAATTTTTCACTCCCAAATTCTATCAAAGACTTTCATGACTTTTACATCCCATTTTCCAATTAAAAGTACAAATTAAGTTTTAAAAGATAGTCATTTCTCCCAGCTGACAAATCCCCTTACTGCAGTATCTGAACTCGATCACTCAGAAATCTGATTCCTCACTTATATGTTGAGGTGATATTACTCCACAAGTCTGTATCTTCAAGCCATTTTAAGAATAGTATGCTGACGTTAATCAGTTTTTTTTTTCCCGAGACAAGAGCCTAGCTCTGTCACCCAGGCTGGAGTGCAGTGGCATGATCTCTGCTCACTGCAGCCTCTGCCTCCCAGGTTCAAGTGACTGTGGTGCCTTAACCTCCCGAGTAGCTGGGATTACAGCACATGCCACCATGCCCAGATAATTTTTATATTTTTAGTAGAGGCAGGGTTTCGCGATGCTGGTCTTTAACTCCTAACCTCAGGTGATCCGTCCGTCTCAGCCTCCCAAAGTGCTGGGATTACAGGCGTGAGCCACCACACACAGGCATTTTTCAAAGTACATTTGGTAATGATATTCAACTTCTTCCAAAAATTATTCTGGAGTGGGAAAATCTTTTGGTAAGGTAAAAAAATAAAAAAATTAATCAATCCTGCAGGCTGGATGTGTGAGAAGTAAAATTAAAACTTAAAAAATTCTGGCCAGGCACGGTGGTTCACACCTATAATCCCAGCACTTTAGGAGGCTGAGAATTAGAGACTAGCCTGGCCAAATAATGAAACCCCACCTCTACTAAAACTACAAAAATTAGCTGGGTGTGGTGGTGCACACCTGTAATACCAGCTACTCAGTAGGCTGAGGTAGGAGAATCGTTTGTACCTAGGAGGCGGAGGTTGCAGTGAGCCAAGATCGAGCCACTGCACTCTAGCCTGGGTGACAGAGCAAGACTCCATCTTAAAGAAACAAAAAAAAAAAATTCAAAGTGCATTTAACATTCTTTTTCATGGCCACCTTACAAGTATCCTGAGAACTCAACAGAAAGTTTAGTTTTCCCTTCTAGTACAAATGAGACTGAAAAATTATTTTCCATAGTGAAGGACTCAATAAGGTAGCAAGTAAACCACTATTCTGGAGGGTGAGTGGTATTTTTTATTGTGGCTCTTCGCATTCCATGAAATTTGTAATCACTATGACAGTACCAAGAATTTACTGCCAAATACACAGTTCATGCTGTGATTACAAATCATTTCACACCACCTAAATGTACTGTGTAGCTATGATCATGTACTTTTATTAAAGGGAGAGATCGTTATTAATGAATCTGGAAGCTGGCCAACCCCAACAAGATTAAGAAAAATTCGATGCATATTCTTGGGGGAAAAGCATTAAAGCCTGCTCACCCAACCTTTTTCTATTTTGTAAACATATTACCTTCTGCCCTTTATAAGTGCTACAAATCAGTTCACTGTGGCAAAACACCAAAAATATCCATAGGAAAAATTTTCTTAAACACAGATTACAATTAAGACACATTATTTGAATGTTTCTAGTTGCGGTGGAATGCTGTCCTAATAATGCCTGTTCTCTTTAATCAGTGAGACTCATTTTTAAAGGTCAAAGTATAGTCTGGTAACATAAAGAGAACTGGTACCCTTAATTAAATGTACAGGTTTGGTCTCATTACCATCCCTGACACGTTAATTATTACTGCATGTTTCTAAAACAATAGGAGTCCAACTCATAAATCAACAATCTCTGTGGCTCTCAATTAAATACGACTAGATTCCATATATTCCCGAATCCTAAGAAATGTAAAACTTGTTCATTTGAACTTCATTCGGACAGTGTACTAATTTTTAGTATCTACCCCAATAAAATTTGAAACAGATTTAACAATAGTATCAACTATTTGAGAACTCTAAACATATAATGGATATTACTTTCTCATATTAAGGCTCAAGAGATTGAGTCTAGCCAAATTAATCCCAATGACAAGCAAGTTTATTTCTCCATTTGCCTTCCCCTTCAACTTTGTAATCTGAGAAAGGCCTCTGTACTTCTCTTTCTGGATGTGAAAGTGTATTATTCCACAAGGAAACTATAGGTACAACCCCACCAAAGGGATTCCAGTTGAAACCCAGAAAAAGTAAGTTTAATAAATGTCCTTAATAATGCAGCATACTTATATAAGAAATTTGTATATAACATTACAATTATCCAGTATAACTAAGCTACCAATGATCTTACACAACCCTTTACAAGCATATATATGTACACACAGTGTTCTTATTTCTCTCACAGAATTTTTAAGGACTAATTTGCCATTTGCATGAGTCAAAATGTGTCAGTTTGTCATAGCACACAAACTTCTATGAAAATGCTTTGTTAAAAGTGACAGGATGGCACATGGTAAGAATTATACCAGATCTTACTCAAAGTGAATGAAAAGACCATTCTTTTTAGTTATTCACTAGCTACTGCATTTTTAGAAAGATAAGTAATCACCATATTATTATGGGTGTAAGGTCCCAGATTAACATAAGAAAAAGAGGACAAACTAGAAATCCACAATTCCTATATTTCAAAATAATGGCTTAGATTTACCAACTGTAAAAATTTCCCACTTTCCCAGGGGAGACAAGGGAAACAAAAACAAAAACAAAACACAAAAACAGTAAAGAGAGGTTTGAGGGATTTTATAAAGCATTTATCAAGCCTTACTACACCAGTAATCTCCCTAACAGATGTGCTAGTATTCTAAAATAGGCCATAGAAATAAGTTGTGTGAAACAGACACAGGTAAACAAACAACAGCGGTTATTATTTGTGACATTTTATTGGCGTATGACAATTTACAAGGGTCCCTGTTGCATTATACATCACACTGAGTAAGAATCGTTTAGCCATCTACATTCAATGTTACTTACTGGGTAATATTTTTCTCAAATTATAATTCCCGACA